AAAGTTCAACCACTGACCCACACTGGCCGGTCTAAAATGTCTATTTCACCTTCTTTCCTGAAGAATATTTTCACTGGATAAGGACGTCTGGGTTGACTGTTCTTTTCCTTCAGCACTTGAAAAATGTGCCACTTTCTCCTGTCAAATTATTGTCCCCCTATAAAATGTAATGTCATTTATGTCTGGTTTCCTTCAAGATTCTTTGTCTTTAGTTTTCAGAAGTGTGGATAAAAAAGGGGGTCACATACTATACCTGACAAGTTCAGAGGAGACCAACATGACAGACCTAACAAACTCGGAGACCAAAAGTAACCACTTACGATGGTCTGAACATAAAAACTCCTAACTATAAGGAGGTCACAGCAGGTAGTCACATCCTAGGCTTATAGAGTCCTTGACAACAGTCAATCTTTACTTTAAATGAGCCTGTTTATTGTCTTTTTGCATCTAAGATATCATACCTTTGAAAAGTCATACCTTAGAAAGTAATCCCCTTTCCAAGACCTCTCAGGCACACCCACTGCACTCCTCATTGTTATCTTGTTCCTCAAATACCATCTCTTATGTGCTGTAAATGTTGATTTATTTTTAATCCTCACCCAAGGATATTTTTTAATTGATTTATAGAGAAAATGGAAGAGAGAGGAAAAGAGAGAAATATAACACATTGGACCAGGGTGGAGCCTGCAACCCAAGGAATCGAACCCCGGGCCCTTCAGTCTACAAGCCAATGCTCTATCCACTGAGCCAAACTGGTTAGCGCTTTCACAGTTTTTAGAAGCAAAGAAAATCTTCCAGAGAAACTCCCTGTTGGATGTACATCCTTGCTTCATTGGCTAAATTTAGTCATATGCCCAGGTCTAACCCAATCACTGGCAAGGAAGATATAATTACAAGGATGGTGTTAGACTCATCAAAACCCACCTCTGAGGCTAGGGAAAATGTGTTCCAGGGAGAGTGAATACCTAAACAAACTTAGAGCTCTTCCGGAAGGGAAAAGGTGGGAGGCAGAACTAGGGAGCAGCCTAAGATGGCACATGGAGGTTCCAAGGTTGTGAATCTCTTGCAGGACTGATATCCAGTGGCCCCCAGTAGGAGCACTGTTTCAGTTGTTAAAATATTGAAACACTTTCATACCAGTTGGAAAATAGCTATTTCCCCAAGATCCCCCTAAGCAGATCCATCCCACCCATGCCATCCCAGCCTTCCCCCCTGAAAATTCAGAAATCAAAGCGTTAGTATCTGATATGGGGGTGGAAGAGGTATTCCATGATCTGCTCCAATGTGTGGCTAGTGTGCACGCCGATTCTAATAACAATGTAGTTGTTAAATAGCTTGCTGGCATCTCCAGCTTGTACACAATATGTGTTGTGGTTTTTGGAAAGTGACCACCAATGCTTTGACATTTCTCCCTTCAAGAGGTAGAGTCAATGTGCTCCTCTCATTGAACCTGTATTTGTCACTTCTTCATCTGTCCCACCTAGGTCTCTCGGAACACACATCTCAAACTGTTCCTCTTGGAACCCAACTGCCATGCTGCAAGGGGCCCAACCACACAGACAGGCCACACGAACATCCTCTGGTTGACAATCACAGCTGAACTCAGCTCTGCAGTCACCCCACCTCCATAACCAGACACGTGAGTAAAGAAGTGTGCAGAGGTTTCCAGCTCCCCACTGGGGCAGAGACAAGCCATTCCTACTCTGCCATGATCAAGTTCCTGACCACAGAATCTTGGAGTATAATAAAATAATTGTTTTATGCCACTAAGTTTGTGTGTTTTTAATGAGGCAATACACCACAGTCCCTTATGAGGCATGTCACAAGAAATGTATTACCAAGAGTAACCCACTGAAATTTCTAAATGGTTGAGTTTTGTTCACATTATAGGGGTTTCAGAATCATTCCCATAATTCTATAACTCTCAGACCTTTGCATTCTCATGTTTTCTCAATTAGGAGATAAAGGCAGGAGTACAGCCATGCACTAGAAATTACGTACAATCCCACAGCCACTCCACTGCATTATATGGTTTGTAAGTGGCAGAGCCCCATTTTGGATGGGGGCAGCAAGGTGTCCAACCCAGGGCATAAATTTCTTTCCCCTTCCTCAACACCTGCTTCCCCAGACTCCCTTGCAGTTTGGAATGGTCATGGGACTAAAGGGCTCCTTTTTTAAAAAATCCTCACCTGAGATTATTTTTTCCATTGATTTTTTTTCTTTTCTTTTTTTTTTAGAGAGAGTGGGAGGGAAGAAGTGGGGAGAGAGAAAGAGAGAGAGGGAGGGACATTGACATGAGAGAAATACAATGTTTGGTTGCCTCCCCCACACGCCCTGACCAGGGCCGAGGATCAAACATGCAATCCAGGTAAACACTCTTGACCTGGAATCGAACCTGTGACCCTCCGGTCCGTGGGCCAACACTCTAACCACTGAGAAAACCAGCCACGGCAAAGGCTTCTTAAATTAGTTACTTCATATAATGAATTTAAAACAATTTTTATTACATGTGTTTATTACTGTTACTCTTATTATTTTAGAATTTTTTCTCCCTTGACACAAAAAAGAACTTCCATTTATTCCCTTCCTTCCTACTTAGTTCATTGGTATGAGGATGTAAGACCTGGATCTCTGATGGCCATTTTGTGACCATGAGACAACAAGCCTAGAATATGAATCTATTCTTCTCAGGAAGATAAAACAGAAGGGTAGGAAATGGGTCCTTGTTGATATCAATAAGCCATTGCACCAAACCCCAACCCTCCTAACTCCAGAATTCTTATTCAGTAAGAAAACCAAATGTCTTTAGTTGTGTACTTGAGTTTTCTGTTTGCAGCCAAGTGAATCCTCACAAATCCATCTCTGCATGCCCAGCACAGACCCCAAAGAAGGTGGTCAATTCATATTTGATAATAAAAATTTGAATCCTGTAGGACATGTCTGAGTTCAGGCATATGGCCCTTGAATGCTGTAATAAAAATAAGGTTACAAATCCACTTGGAGAAGCAAAGGCCTAAAAAGAAATTCTGAACTGGATATATTTAGGTTTTACCTGCTCAGCATCCATTTCTCCTGCTAAGGCTCACTTTCTCAATCCACAAGACTCAGGTTTGCTCAATCAGATTACCCCATCTACAGATCACAGTGACAAGCCTTCTCTGATCTTCCCTAATGAAGGCCTTTGTATAAGCTGTTTCCTCTGCTTGAAATATGCCCTACTACTCTCCCGCCACCACCCTGTCTTTACCTGGCTGATATCCACTCATCCCTATGTCTGTTAATATCACTTCCTCTTCCAAATACCCTTCGGAATGGTCCACTGGGATTTATATTACTTTTATAGGCCCAAACGCTTTCCCATCTGGTAAGAACTTGGGATTGACCATATGAAGTTGCCAATATTCTGCCATTTCTGACCTACAAAACTGGCAATTTCATATGATTCAACCTAAAAAAGAATTTCTTTAGCTACTCCCCTCTCCCAGGCCACCCAACCTGGACACCCGAATACTGAGGGCTAAACCAACCCCTACCTGGCCAATCATTGGACTGGTGTGACCCCAATCAGTCCAATCTGAGCCCTTCCCTGGGATGTTGTTGTTTCGCTTATACTGGAGATTTTGCCATTTTCCCACTGGGCTATGGTACTGGAAGGATTGGGTTTGTGTCTGCAAATAAATGGCTGCTTTCCCAGCGCATGCAGTTGAAAGGAATGAATATAAGCTGAGACAGAGAAATGAGTAGGAAAGTGTCTTGATGGAGTTGAGTCTGGGGTCCAGTCTCTAAAGCCAAGTTCTTTGTGGGTCTACCCTAAATTGTTTCCTTCCCAGTTACATGAGCCAATAAACTCTGCTTTTTAGGTCTATTCTGTTAAGGTATGTTCCTGTGACTGCTACCGAAAGACTTTAATATATGTCCCTGAGCCTGCAGGTGGGGTAAGGCAGCTCCTCTGGGCTCCCACAGTTTCCTTTTCTTCTCATCACAGTCCTATTGTCATCTGTCTGTCCAGGAGGGCCGGTATTATATCGATCTTGGTCACTGCTGGGTCTACAGTGCCCAGCACAGGGCCAGGCCCAGAGCAGATGTTCATACACTCCCCTTGGAAAATCCAATGCCCTCTCATTGCTGTACCTGTTCCTTGGTTTTAAAGCTCTCAGTTTTGAAGAGCATATCATTGGCATTTATTCTCTATTAAACAAAGGGCTTAGGGTTACAGGAGAAAGAAGGTGGTGGATGTCCTCCAAAGGGCTAAACCAGGGACCATGTGGACCCCAAATATGTTGAAGGATGGATGCCATGTTCTGAGGTGACAGTTCCTGATTTTGTTTTTTGGGTTTTTTAAAAAATATATTTTATTGATTTTTTTACAGAGAGGAAGGGAGAGGGATAGAGAGTTAGAAACATCCATGAGAGAGAAACATGGATCAGCTGCCTCCTGCACATCCCCCACTAGGGATGTGCCCGCAACCGCGGTAACATGCCCTTGACCGGAATCAAACCCAGGACCCCTGAGTCCGCAGGCCAATGCTCTATCCACTGAGCCAAACCAGTCAGGGTCTGATTTTGTTTTGAAGGCAGGCACCCCCCACAGCTGGGGTCAGAAATCAGACCATATACCACCCCTGCTCACAACCTTTTTTTGGCTTCCCACAGCTCTGAGAATAAAATCTTGACTCTTGACCACAGACCACAAGCTTCTGCAGAATCTGCTCCCTGCTTGCCTCTCCCACCTGCTCTCCTCCCACTCCAGTCCAGGCACAATGCCTCCAACACACCAAGCACGATCCTTTCTCAGGGCCTTTGCACATGCTATTTTCATTGCCAGGAATGCTCTTCCCACAATGGATCTCTTCAGAATCGATTTCTTCAGCTCCAATATCACCTTTCTTGATACTCCTTCCTCCCCCATCTAAAGTACACCTCCCAGTCATTCTCTGTCCCAACACCCTGTTTTCATTCATTTCAAGACATTTATTTACCACCAGACACGCATTACATATTTACTTGCTTGTTTACTGCCTCCCCCCAAGGGACAGGGGTTTCTTTATTTTATATATATAATTATTTTATTGATTTCAGGGAGAGGGAGAGAGGGATAGAACATCAATGAGAGAGAACCATTGATCAGTTACCCCTGCAAGCCCCCTACTGGAGATCGAACTCACAACCCGGGCATGTGCCCCAACCAGGAATTGAACCTTAACCTCCTGGTTCCTAGGTCGACACTCAACCACTGAGCCACACTGACTAGACCACAGGGGTTTCTTATTTTGTCTATTTTGTTCACTGCTGTATCTCCTACACAGAGCCACATACATAGTACATGCTCAATAAAGTTTTATCGGGTGACTCAGACAATATAGTCAGATGATTAGGTATGCAGAATTTGAAAGCAGTTAACTTTCTAATCACAACTCTGCTGTTTCCTGGCTGTTATGATCTTGGGCAAGCTCCTTAACCTCTAAATTATTTCTTCTTCTAGAAACATAGATGCACACGCTACACATCAGCTGCAGAGTATAAATATGATCATGCTTACTATGAACGTAACTTCCTTTTGTGAATGTTATGTGCCTGGTGCTGGGTTGCATGCTCTTCTTTCAATCTTTATTTTTGAGAGGACCGACATATTACAGATGTCCCTTCCCTTCCCCCCACCTTGCCCATGCACCAGGGAGGGTTTGTGAGCACAGTGCCTAGTATGTGGGAAGCCCTCAGTACCCAGGAGTCATGATGACCAAGATAGATAAGTGTGGCTGGGTCACTGGGTGAGGGAGCCTCCTGGCCTGTGATTCTCTGGCGCCTTTGTCCTTGATGCCTCCCACCCTGTCTGCCCAGATCTTCCCCCTTCCTCCTGCTGTTTCTATTTCTGTCTTTCTCTCCTCCTCCCCAGGCCTCAGGGGGCCCCTGGCTAGCATGAAGCCTCTTCCTTCTCCAGGATCAGGAAGTATTCACTGCAGCGCCCCCCAAGACTGGGGTAGCCCCCAACTGACTTTCCTTCCCCAGCCACAATCCTCTGCCTTAACTGAAACTCCCCTCCCCATACCATCTTCTATGCTCCAAGCAGACCCCTTCTCCACTTCCAATCCCTCATATTCCAGGCAGTAACCAATGTGCTCTTTCC